AAGTGGGAACCCTAAAAGTTAAAAGTTGAATTACTAAATTACCCTTCTAAATAAATTACCTAAATACCTAAATATTATATTAAAATAATATCTAAATATAGAGAAGAAAATCTAATTTAAAGTGTCTCCTCCAAAAGTTGTGTTCTTATATAGAGCAAATACAAGTATTGTATCCCTTCTAAATAAATAATACCATCAAATTTATTTAAAGGGGTGTGGTCCTTTAAAGTCACTAATATAATTGCCATTTTTTATTTTGCATTTAGTTTGGTTTTAACCGTTGCTATTGTTGACCGGGGTGTTAATCCCATGCCGATCTTTACCTCTTCAAGTAATCATTGATATAATGGTAATTTACCTTTCTTATTTTATTTTTAGTTTCTATTTCTTAACATCTTATCTCTTAAATTTAGTTTCTTTTACCATATGTTAGCAAGTTCGGTTTAGTACTAGGGTTATGTGTTTGGTTACTTAATGATGATGATTTTGGTTGATAATGTTCTGGAATTTGGAATAGTCATGGACAGTTTATATTGGCAATTCTATTTATACTGCTACGTTTATAAATTGTCGCCCACTATTATCACATCTTTGTGCATTCGTGTCACCAAGTCAATATTCTCGGGTCTTTTGAAGCCAACATCTCAAAACAAATTTTAGGTAAGTGATTACGTTCTCTTTTATGTAGAGTTTTTAATATGATAATTGATCATTTTTCTTCCTGTTCATATCCAATTTTAGGTCGTTGTGTTCTAGGTTTTGGAATATTCTGAATTTTTCTAAACCAACACTTTTGTTTGCTAGAGAATTGAATTTTTGAATATTATGCCTTTGAAAATCAAACTTTGCTTTGAGTTATGTTCCACTATTATAATATCAATGGAAGTATCACGAAGGTATCATTTTTTCTTGTTGATAATGAGTTTTCCATGAAAGGAGAACAAAAATCTTAAGTTGTTGTTGGTGTTGAAGTTTGGCAAAATGCCAAAGTCCCACATTGGTTGGGAGTTAAGTTTGGAGGGGATTTTTCCCCTATAAAAGAAGGCCTAATGTTTAGGATTGATACACACCTCTCATTTGTCTTCTCATCTGTTTAAGGCATTTGTATCTTCTCTCTTTAGTATTATTTCACTTGTATTTTTGGAGTGGAATAAAATATT